TGAGTGTTATTTTGATGATTACTATAGTAGGTAAGTGTTACTGTGATTGCTACTGTAGTAGGTAAGTGTTACTGTGATGGTTACGATAGTAGGTGAGTGTTACTGCGATTGTTACTATAGTAGGTGATTGTTACTGTGATTGCTACTATAATAGGTGAGTGTTACTGTGATGGCTACTATAGTAGGGGTGTGTTACTGTGATGGATACTATTGTAGGTGAGTGTTACTGGGATGGATACTATAGTAGGTGAGTGTTACTGTGATTACTACTATAGTAAATTTTTGTTACCGTGATGGCTACTATAGTAGGTGAGTGTTACTGTCATGGCTACTATAGTAGGTGAGTGTTACGGTGATGGCTACTAGGTGAGTGTTACTGTGATTGCTACTACAGTAGGTGAGTGTTACTGTGATGGTAACTACTATCTAAGGGTTTAGGGTTTAAGATTTAAGGTTGTTATATCTAAGGCTTTTTATGGCGAAGTGTGTTGCACGGTATACTCACGTGCATACTTTTCCACACACCACACCAGGCGACTGGACCATTTCAGGAGCACGGCCCTCGACCGAGCCATTGCACGCATTCGCAATTGGAAAGAAATGACCGGTCCGGACATGCAAGACAGAACCGGGACATGCGAGCACCGCTCAGGCACCAAGCACCGTAAAGCGGAGAAGAGTTCACAGACACGGACGAACAGTTTAACATACGCACACGCAAAGGCCCACACACAGAGCTCTGCATACACACGCACACAAGTCTTTGGCACACAAGCGGAGGCACCAGCGGCTGTTGTGAGAGATACGAACGCACTACCGGACTGCCCATTCACACTAACTGAGTTACTGACAGCGCATGTTGAACAAGTGCAGGTGGGTGAGTGTAGTTGATAACACTGTGCTTGTAGGACATCGTATATGTATGTGTTATGTGTGGACGTATGTTGTTTGGTATTGCAATATAACCGTAAATATTGATATATATCATTTTATATTGTGTTTTGCTGTATTATAGTGTTATGTAACTTCATATATATATATATATATATATATATATATACTCGAATCCAAAATTGTCGGCATCTCATGAATGTTCATGCAAACCATCAACAGGTGACGAAATTCATCCATGCAGTGATCAGTCGAGTGGTTCCTGAGCAGTTCTACGGATCTCGACACAACAAACGACTCATCTTTGACGGTATGGCATGTTTTAAGCTCAACTATACTCACTCTATACAACTCACGCTACAAAGGGACATACACATCACCTGTCACACAACACAATGCAATACATACTCTAATCACCCACCACTACGCTAATACACTCCTTCAATACGCACACCCTTGCACGCATTTGGATGGCACTCTCACACATATGCACATGCACGGAGTCACACATACGTCTTCACTTCCAGCGTCTAGTTTACATCGAGACCATCAATGACCACAATAACAAACCAAGTGTTACTACTCACACATTCATCAACACAACAGCATAAACAAGTGTTACTACGCACACATCCATCAACACAACAACATACACAAGTGTTACTACAACAAGTAAAACAAGTGTTACTACAACAGCAAAAACAAGTGTTACTATGCACACATCCATCAACACAACAACATACACAAGTGTTACTACAACAGCATAACCAAGTGTTTCTGCACACATATCTCCATCTTAGGCATTGGACAGTTCTGTCGGCTGCGGCGGTTTGAGACTGTGGCTGTCCACAATGTACTACACGGTATAAAAGTAAGCGGCAGCACGGGAGGGGTTTTCCAGGTTTTAGGGTCAGGTGTTTTTTTGTGGATTTAGGGTTTAGGGTTTTCTAAAACCCTCTGAAGGAACTGTTGTAGCCGTAGTTACGCGAAGGTGATATGATATTGTATTTGCATGTGATCTGACGGAGAGTTAAGATTGGCAACCAATGTGGTACGCGGCATGGTGGGGTGTTGTACTTTTCAGCCACATACAACACACAAGAATGTAAACAGCTAACCAGAGAATGTAATTATGAGTTTGAGTGTGAGTGAGAGTATAAGCATATGGCACAAAGTTAGTGATGATTCTGAATGGCCTGGGCTATACATTACATGCACACACACATGCTCACATATACATTACATGCACACACACGCGCTTACATATACTGTACATGTACACACACATGCTTACGTATACATAAACAAACTACAATATACATGTACACACACATGCATATATATACATAAAAAAATTCACAATATACATGTACACACACATGCTTACATATACATTACATGCACATACACGTGCTTACTCGCATATTAGCATACGTTCATTCGTGTCCAGGTTGTTTATTCGTGTCACTCCTTTGGTGCTGCAGATTCAAGACATGCGCTGGATGTGCAGTCCCAATATGACAGGTTCAGGTTCCATCAGGACTTATGGTACGAACCCTGCGAAGGGCCACGAAGGTATGAGACGCTCGAATACACACGGTACAGAAGACCTTCCACAGGTAAGGAAACGAGGACAGAATGAGCCCGAAACATCCGCAACAGGGGAGGGACAGAATCGTCCCAAAACACAGAGCCATGAGACACGGAGAAGGATGGTGGGTCAGTTCCTGGTGTTTCTCTACGAATGTCTGGTCATCCCACTCATTCAGGTGCGTCTATGCGCACACTCTACTACCTTTGAATTTTCGGATTTAGGGTTTTGGAGTTTTAGGAGTTTATCTCCCCGCACATTGAACCTTGCTTTTATTTTTTTTCTTCAACTTATTTTTACTGCACTCCGTACACTATTAGAGAATAAATCCCAACACTATTAGGGTTTAGAACAGATCATAATACTATTAGGGTTTAAAATAAATCCCCTCAAGTATTTACCATCACGTAATTCTTTTTACTCACCATTAAACAGACGCACTTCTACGTCACGGAGACGAGCACTGGCAGACAACGGGCACACTTCTATCGGAAGAACGTGTGGCAACTCATCCACACACACGGGCTACGAGCCATGAACAACATGCTCCAGCCAATTGCAGCGGTTAGTTGTTTGTCCGTTATATATACATATAGATAC